CGGACTCTACTGCTCGACAAAGTCGTCCCTTAGCCTTACGCTATCACTCAGAATATACCTCGAGTCCACAGTCCCCAAGACCTCAAGCCTCTTCTAGCTTTCACGAACGTCCACAACGATCTCAATCAGAGCCACTTGAAACCAGAACTACCACAACCAATACCACCATGTCTTCCTCTGGATCCTCCCCATCAGGTACCTCAACTGCCGGCAGCAACTCCGGATCTGGCCAACTCCCATACGCTCCATTCCCGTATCCGATGCCTGCCAACCCCAGGGGCTCGGGCCAAGGCAAATAGATGTCCTCGCCCTTGCTACACTACTGTATCGCATTGACGGCATCTCTTGGCTTCATCGATTTGACAGACACGAATTCCCTTTTGCAGATCAATGGCTCACTGGGTGCCAATCTTCTTCCAATGTCTCAAAATTTCTAGTCTCACCCCGGTATTGCATGGCATGAAAGCATCGCACTTTCGGCGTCGGGAATACCCTCTTCTTCTTTAGATTCTCTATGTCGGTCTTTCTATGGCGCATTCTACACTCATTTCTCGCTCGACATTGTGTTTCTATCTGCTATTTGCCAATTTACATCTTCTTTCACTCATTTTCCGCATCTCTCAGTCGCTTTGGATTAGGTTCATACGGCTGGGTCAAAGCTCTTGTCATTCGGACCAGCTCGCATGGGTGGCGTTTGGTTTCTCCCGCACTGTAACTGTCACTTCGCGATCCGATCGCCTTCACACATCCTTTGCTTTCGGGCCGTTGGCGTTTGTACTAGCGCGTTGGCTATCGATTGTATGAGCGCGGCTCGATACGAGAGATTTCCAGGGCAGGTACTTCGGCCACTCTCGTAAACGTCGTTCTGAATCCTCACGATATCTATTCTTGCATCCTCTGGAGTTACGGTGTGTGGGGATAGATCTGTAGACTAGACACTAGATAGCTGTTAGCTCGAAAAATGTACAAGATACTTCCAGGCTATTTCTCGTGACGTTCTATTTTTAGACCTGCCCAGGTATTGCAGCCCGTATTCAAAAGGCGGCTCCGTGGAGTTCAAAGATACGATACTGACAGCCACCCGTGCTGTACATACGACCTGGCTATCGAAAATGACAGTCGAGAGCTAAGCGATGTGGATTGCATGAAGAGCCAATACCGCGCTGCAGAAGGTACCTCCATTGCCGAATGTGAGGCGGTGATAAGTCCGGCGTCTCATCCCCGAGCTGAAGGAGTATAGATGACCGGCAGCCCAGATTTTGTATGATTGCCTTGGCGCACGAGCTCTGATGGTGATGTCGTTCTGAAAGGTGCTGGGAGGCTGGGAATGTGACGGTTGATCGTGGATGATCTGGTGGGCGGAGATTGATGCGCCGATCTGACTAAGCAGCGGCCGTTTGAGTCGTGCAGCGTCATTCGCACCATCTTTCCTCTCCGAGTCGGTTCACGCGACATCGCGACATTGCTGCCCTGATCAAGTGATCTCTTTCACGTGTTATCCATCTCCCGAACGCCTCGTGCCTTCCCGCTCGACGTCGCGACAGTCGCACAACCGCCCACGGCTGCCTCCCTGATCCTCATCATCTCCGTAACGGCGTATCCGTCCCCGAAGCTCCGCCGTCGTCCTTCCATCAACCACGACACTCGCATCACCTACCAGCGCCACCATGGCACCATCGCGGTCCCGAGCGCCACTGCTCTCAATTCTCGCCCTCACATCCCTCCTTCCCTACACAGCCTATGCCTTTGACTGCAAAGACATCCTCGCAGATGGCCAGCACTTCAACTTCAAAGAGCTTGGCGGCCCGCACGTAGTCCATTACAAGGAGTCTGATATCGCCAAAGAACTCGAGTGGAAGTACAACTTTACAATCGACATCTGCAGCAACCTCAAATGGCACAAAGGCGGTAGTCTGGCAACCGAGTGCCATCACGGGTCTAGGGTGTGTGGAATCAGAGAGAATATCGATTTGAGCAGTGATGACAACTCCACTATCACTCCCATCGAAATCGCCGGAACATATGCGACGCAGAACGGGAGGAGCATCGATGCCAAGTTTGAAAACTTAGGCCACTCCAAGAGCAACAATGATGCAGGATTAGAGGGTGTTAGGGCAACGCTGAACGGAGGCAGATTCCCGTTCAATGACAAGAAGGAAGGCATAAACCAGCGTGCGATCATCGAATTCGTCTGCGACAAGGAGAGGACTGGACTGGAGGGTGACGAGATGGACAAGAGCCCGCACCAGGATGACGATAAGGAAGATGAAGGAGGCGACAAAGGGGATGACAAGAAGGACGATGACGACAAGAAAGAAGAAAAGCTGAGGAGGAGAGAAGAGAGCGGCAAGAGCAAGTGTGAGGACAACGACAACAGTCTGCGCTTCTGTGGCTACGACATGGAGACGGAAGAGAAAGACAAGAAAGTCCAGACACTGCGACTGCAATGGCGGACCAAGTACGCCTGTGCGGATGCGCCGTCGCCGGACGGTGGCTCCCACTGGGGCTTCTTTGGCTGGTTCTTCATCATGTGAGTTGCCCGACCTTATCTCTACATCTCCACAGTGTTCTAATAAGTATCTAGTCTCTTCCTCGCGATCGCTGCCTACCTCATCTTCGGCTCATGGCTCAACTATAACAGGTACGGAGCGCGCGGATGGGACCTTTTGCCCCATGGAGACACGATCCGCGATATCCCGTACATTGCGAAGGATTTCGCAAGGAAGGTCATGGGGACTGTACAGGGAGGCGGAAGCAGAGGAGGCTATGCTGCCGTGTAGAGCACCATGTCAACATCCTGGGAGGAAATTTATTGATGCAGTGATGCAGGGGATGCTTTGTAGGATACGCCTGGTGTGGAGGAAAGAGCATACAAGGCGCTGGAGTTACGGATTTGGCTTATGGTCAGCACTTGCGACACTTACCTAGATTTCGAGAGATGCGGAACGAGGACTGGTACAACCCTTGGATGCGTATTGAGTCGACATGTGCTTCATCGAGTATTGCTATCTTGAGCTTCCCATCATCATCCTGCGTTGGATAACACTGTTAGATTGTTTTGACCTTTGTTGCACATTCACATACACAATGTCACATGCATTGAAGTCACTAGAAATTATATATTGCTGTCACTTTTTGAGAACCGGGTGAAATAATCTCTCTCTCTCTCCAGCGCCAGCCGTGCAAATGCCTGACCTCAATACAATGTTCGCAGGAAGTCAGTCCACATCCAAGCCGCATCGCCCAAAGAAATCCGTAAAGTTCAGCCCAGAGACAAACTTCGAGCCTGGTCGGGCTACACATCAGTGGAAGCGCAAAAGCCCCACGTACGTGGCTGGAAAGTACAGTTGCCCACCAGATGTCGGAGCCTGGCTAGACACCAGCTTAATGAGCAACGAATGGGAACAGCTTCTCAACTTTAAAGTCCACGCCATATTCCACGTCCGCAACGCAGACGAAATCGACGTCCTACACAATTCCTTCCACGCGCAAATGCGAGCAGGTCTGCCGCTGCTTCCCGGCTCCGAAACACTTCTAGGAGATCATCCGCTTGGTTTTGAGGTTTTCAAAATCTACAAGGACCTGACTGAAGGCGGCGTCGCTTTTTCTAGCCTTCCCGGAGGAGACTGGACAAGGGCGAAAGTGTTGGTTCTTTACCAGGATCAGAGGGATAAGTCTGTGACTTTCCAGTTTGTTAATGATGCGAAGGAGGATCAAGAAGCTCACGAGTGGATACTTGAGTTACAGCGGACTGTGCCTAAGAATAATGTTGGCTTGCCGAAAATGGCTAGGTTGATGAAGTGGAGGGATGATTGTTTTGTTGAGATGTGCGGGTTAGATGCGAATATGCAATTATAATTGAACCTTCGAGAAATATACGATGTTACAGTGAAAAGAGTAGAGTTGGGTGCGAAGTCAGTCGTCTGCCCACCGGATCCGGCAACGCTGTAATGAAGTCCCGCCGCAATCGTTTCAATGTAGGGCTCGTTATGCCGAAGTAGTTGCGTTGGCTGTATACAGATGGCAAAAGTCACAGTGAACGACAGCGCTCGCCCGCAGCTGACAGCGCGGACAATTAAAAAAACGACTCTTTGTTCCCAAATAACTTTCATGTACAGCCATTCCAAAACCACATACATTGTTCGTCAACACCTACCCAGTTGCAACATTGACTAGCAATGACGGCTGGAACGCCAGCAGTAAATGCCATGTTGGCAAGCTTACTCCAAGACAAACTTCAAGTAACGCAGTCCGCCTCCCCTATCCAGGACAATTACACCGGTCGCAATCGCATGGAAGAGCGACGTTTTACCGCGGAGTGCCACCCACCACTCTTTTCTGACGTTTCTCCCGGAAAAGCTCGCAACTTCGACGACACTGGGCGTCGTATCGGAGCTAAATGCGGTCATGCGCTTCACCCCAACACGGACTACGATGACGAATACTGCCCAGTATGCAGAGTTGTAGCTTATCTGAATCTACTTCGGCGCATCACTAAAGATTGGGATGGTAAAGGGGGCCCTTGGAGGCCACTGACAGGTCAGAGTACTGAGGATCGAGACGCTTACTGCCATATCTGGCACAAAAGAAGACTTGAGCTTGCACAGCTCTTGATGCGCTATGAAGAAGACGCAGAGAATGAAGGATGTTGGGAAGAGCAGCACCCGGAACAAGTTGAAGCAGCGCGGAAGACAAGCTCAGCAGGCAATGCAGTGGCCATTGCGCGTGCCATGTCGAGGTATCCTGCCAGTGTAAGGACTGGCGACATCGCAGATCCAAACTGCCGCACCAACGCTCCTACAATGTTGCCTGGAGCGACCACAAACCATCACACCCCTTCATCGAAGGCAAAAGCTCCGAAGACAAGGCGTGTCCAATTTGCGTCCGACACGAGGTTCCAAATCGCTCGGCCCCGAAAAACTTACTCGCGCAGCGCGAAGGCATATGTACCTGGAAAACACGCAGCACCCTCGTCGAGCACTCTAATCAATACTTCAAACATGACCAACGCCCGCTACAACGTTCGGCAGCTCAAGGTCATCAGGGAGTTTGATTGCCCGTGGAATATCGAGCTCGTCGACGCCATTGCTCTATCCAACCATGAGGGTATTGCAGAACTGCATCCTCGGTGGCCCGAGATCGGGGATAAGATATCGCGTATACACGATGGAAAAGACGAGGTGCCGAACGAGACGTTTATGAAAAGTCTGAGCACTGCGGATTACTTGCTCGTGAAGACTGATGAGAAAGATCAGGTCACGCATGTTATACCGTATACAACGAGAGATATTGAAGAAGTTCCAGGAGATGATGCGGAGGAGGTTCGGATGATGGAAAACAAGGGGTGGACATCGCATATAGAGATCATGTCGAAGGGATGTCGTGATGAGATCTGGGCCACATACGAATGCGCAGGAGGTGCGACTAGGACGGAAAGGAATGGGCGGAAATAGGAAGATGGCGAGCGTGTTGAGACCTCAGGCCCGAGAGGTTGAACGCCGGTACTGTATGCAAAGAACACCTGGGCCCTAGGGGGTCTTGCTGAGCCAGCTGTAACGCGGATTGATCTGAGCAACGCCCGGTTGGGTATGACGTAGACGTAGCGGCCTCGATGGAGATTGATAGACTCATCCTACAATGCATTGTTAGTGCCCTGACTCTTGGATGATTCATCGCAATGACCCAAACACATATGACTGCGCACTGTGCAAACACCCTGTTCTCAGTAGATCTTCCACTTGCCATTCGCTGTTGCGCATTCACTTCCAGAACAGTCGACGGAAACAAACTCGAGAATAAGCACGGGCTTTCTGGCAATGTTTTGCGATCCTCCAATACTCACTCATTCACATCAAAGCAACCTTCCACATCATGCCCTCTTCCTTAGCCGAGTACGTTCCCGCAGCCATTCTCTTCTCGCCTGAAGATGTGCAGCACTTCACCAAGTGGCAGGAAGAGCACGGTGTAGGCTCGCTGCCAGGTATTGTTCGGAATGCGACAGAATACTGCGAGTTTCTTGCATATCGACGCACTGACAAAGACAACAAAAAGCTCAAGCGCGGCAACACACGGACGCGTAACAGAAATCCTGCAAATATGTGCGGACATGAACTTCATCCTTCAGATATCATCACTGGCGGATATTGCCCAGTCTGCGAAGTGGAAATGTGTCTCCAGTTCCTCGATGCGCTCGGCAAGGTATTCCAGAGATGTGGCGGCCCTTGGCAGCAAGCGCGCGTTCGCAATGAGTTCGCTCTAGTCAGACAGTGTTGGCACCTGGCGCGCTATCAGTTAGTCGAGCTTGTGGAGCTTCTGGAGTACTCGCAAAAGTACGAAGAAGCTTGGGAGAAACAACATCCAGGCGACGTAGGGTGTATGTGGACGACCAACAGCTCTTCGAAAGCGATACGTAATGCCCAGATGCAAACGAAATACCCGGCTGTACTGACGCATGTCAGCTTCAGATCTGCAGTGAAGCGAAAGCTCTCGTCGTTGGATGTAGCGCGAGCGAAAGTCGCGAAGGCTCGAGTGAAGAAACACGTCACTTTCACACCGGACACCAACACCTGGACCACCCGCAGCAACGCCTGCTTCTGTCGCAGCCCGGCGCAGTGCCGAAGATATCAGCCTGGTAGACATGCTGCTCCACTCGGATTGGAGTGGATTGACACATCGCGAATGTCCTCTTCTATAGCAGATCTTCTGAACCTGAAGGTATACGCAACCTCTATCCAGGCTGAATTTGACGCCTTGGTCGACGACTCTTCTCTCAGACCCCCTAGTCGTTATCAGGGTATACTATCCCTCCACCCCGGTATACAAGCGATTTCAGCATTTGCCGACCAGTTCTTGCAAGGGGGGGAAACGGCGCGGGAGGAGATGCTCGAGATGATTAGCGTCGCCGACGCCCTTGTAGTCCTCATCGGCGAAGACGATGTGGTGTTGGACTTGCATCTCTCTGTTTCGGATGATGTAGAGGATGAGGATGGATATGGCGACGAAGAGGTGGATCAGACAAGGTGGAGCAGCTGGTCTGAGTGCGGCAATGAGGCAAAGCCTGACGTTGGTGGAGCAGCTGGTCTAGCTGCCAAATTCGCTGTTGACGACGAGAAGGCGCGGAGATGTCGGAAGATAGTTGAGTAGCATAGATGCGACACATGTTACGCTTGTAGGATGTCGAATAGTAGCATGTTGAACTGTCTAGACCTGGGATTTGTACAGCGAGTGGGCATACCAGCCGTAGCCTTCGTAGTTTCAGTTCAATGCGTGCGCTTTCAATTGTGGGTGAATGGCGTTTGATTCCCGCGGTCGAGGAGAGAAGCGGTATAAGAAGATGGGCATCGGAGGATTACTGATGCATTTCTTCATGAACCTTGCCGCTGGTGGTAGGCAGTGGTAGAGAAGAAGCTTGCGCATCGCGCCGAAAGACGCGTCAGTTTCGCGCCTGCCCAGGTGCCCAGGTGGGCTGCGCTGCCCCACCGCCTTTTCATCTTCTTTGTTAACCCTTTATTTGCCACCGCGCAATAAAAGATCCTATATGTAAATGAGCCTGCAACCTCGTGCATCAACTGAGATGTGCATGACCTCCAGGCAGACGTCAGGCCCCCGGTGTAGTGATGCGCGCTGGACGGCGGGCCGGCTACGCATGCCACGGCGCCGTTCCACCCCTCCCCAAGGGGCACAGCATCTCGTCGCAGCCTTACGCTAGGCTTGTACAGCTCTAGCAATCCGCCCAGATGCTCTGCTCGTCGCGATATAAAGCATGGCATGCGACGTGTCCGTTGAGAGCCATCCCATCTCAACACCAGAATGGCTCTCATTACGCTGCCACCGGAGCTCAAGCTAAATATAGCTGACAGCTTGGACCCGGATTCGACTCTCAATTTCGCCCTTACCTGCAAAGACCATGCGACTCTACTTAAATCCTTGTTGAGACAGCATGCACGACTACTTGCGAAATGGAAGGTCATCGACACGACCGATGCTCGTACGCTTCTCTGGGAAACCTTGAGAGACGTAATAGCAAACCCTCGACTAGGGTGGTACATCAGGGAACTCAATCTTCCAGAAAGCCGGCAATACAATTGGAATGCGAACGAGAGTTTGCGTAATTCCCACCCAAAGCATGGCGTTGTGCCATCCGAAGAAGAGAAGGCCTTGTTCATTGAGGCAGCAAGGGGGCTGCAAGATCTGTATCCGGGGTTCGGCGTAGATGAATTGAATCTGCAGAGACGATACTCTCATGCCTACAACTTTTCACCTCGCCCGTACGACACAATTGGATCTATCGAAGATCGAATTCACGCAGGCTTTGAGGATGCCATAATCGCGGTCCTTCTGCACCACCTACCTTATCTCACGACCATCAGACATTCAGAAGTGGGCATGGAAGACTGTCTGGAACTTGTTCTATGGCAGATCGCGTTAGGATACAAGAACCCGGTCATGGCACCAAAGCTTCCCCTACAACATCTCAAGACGGTCGCCGTGCGTTCTCCCCGGGACGAAGGAAGCAGCTCTCCTGACTGGGCGTGTTTTTATCTCAGTATCCCTTCGGTAAAGACGTTTGTAGGGCAAGCAATGGGTGGTTCGCCTAGCGAGGACGTCATACGCACTTTATTCCCCACAGGTGCTGCTCCGTGCTCCAACGTAGAAGAACTACTCTTCAGACGTTGTGTCTTCGATGTGGATGGCTTGGCAACCATACTCGCGAACATTCGGCATCTGAAGAAGCTAACGTACGACGGTGGTGATGCTCTGGTGTCCGAATCGAGCTGGTACGAACCAAAGAAAGTCATCCGAGCAGTTGCTACACACGCCGGCCGCTCGTTGGAAGAGCTCATGCTCAGCGAGGAGGACACGGATGTAAGTCACCAACCCCCGTCAATGTTCCGAACTGATATGAGTTGACAGAGTGAACCTCCTGAGGATGGCCCAGCGATTGTTTCTCTCCGAGAGTTCCAGAAGCTCCGTGTACTCCACTGTCAATGGCGCATGCTTCGCCCCGACATGGCAAAAGAGGGAGACCCTGAACATGACGAGCCGCTAGAACAAGGCTATTACCGAAAGGAGGATTACGAACAGATTGATGTCGACTTCGACGTAAGGACCCTTCTCCCAGAGTCCTTAGAAGAGTTTTATATGAACGGCGATTTCCACGACTATGATGAATGGGAGCACATGGAAAATACAGTCAAGGCCTCAAGCGCCTTCACGCCCCGCCTGAGTATGGATAAGACCTGTATTAAGAAAGGAGGTTATTGGAGTGATCGAATCGGTACTGCAGAGGAACCGGATGGAGCCTGGTCTCATCCGCTCGGCCGCCTTTTCGAAGGTCATCATGGTTAAACTCGACAAACTATATGTCTCATCTCATTCTCGATTGTAACAGGGGCATCAAGTTTCGGGTCTGTGCGCGCTTGCTAGGCACGCGAGAATTGCTATAGCAGTGCGCACGGCTTCTCATCGTTCATCGTAGCGGGTTCTCTTCTCCCAATGACGCACTGGAAGAATTGACCATGCGCCAAGAAACACGACGAGAACTAGGGGACTGCTGGAGCCTGGACACCCCTCTCGTATGTGTATATAAACGCGCGCTCTCCGCAGCTTTACAGAAGATCTTATACCACACCTCTACCGAGCACACTTCTACAGCGCGCGCTTCTCCTGATACCTGTACTGTCAATTATCGGCGAATATCCAGTACCCGACACCAGCATCAACTCCCCTGGAAGATAATACTACAATGGCTCCCCGAACCGTCCACACAATCGGAGGCCGCTACAAAAGCATCAAAGCTGTGGAAGATGCGCCATTCGCAGAGTTCATCTCAGTGAGAGAGACCGGGCTTAAACTCAACGTCGTCCACCCAGTCCCGGTCGCGTATCTGCGTGACCTGCAGTCTCGCGAACGCGCTGCGGTCCACAAACATGTTACCGCTGAGCTGTTTAGTAACAGCTACAAAGACGACGAATTTGTTGAAGCGGTAGAAGAAACCTTGAGTTTGTTGGAGACGGTCCAACAGGATATGGATCATGATCGCTCGACCACTGCGGACCTAACGACCACGGATACGACCAGCAACCGGACTTACCACACGGCAAGGGAGCATCAGGAGTCCCGGGGCAAACATTCCTCCATGCATGTGGAGGCTGACACCAATGTCATGAGCGGCTCAAAGTCAGGCGCCCTTGGGCGTAGCCGGAATATAAATAAATGGAAGAGTACCGTACCCCCTGGCTACCCTCCACCCCCCGTTAGTACGCCAAGCTCAGTCTTTCAGTCTGAGAGTCGTAGTGGATCGCGATCATCTAGCTCCAGCAAGATGCGAAAGCCAAGCAGACACACCGACTTCCTCAAGGACGCAAAGCTCGACGAGAAGACACGCGTTATAGTCGTGGAGCACAGCGCTGCGAGCCGCGAACTGGCGCTTCAGGAAGAGCATCTTGCCAGTCTCGAGTTGCTTGCTTTGACAGTCACCAGCTCAGCTGCGCGGCGCGATCTATACGGCGCCATTCGGAAAGCTCGCAGTGCAGTCGAGAAGGTGCGCGTCCTCGAACGCAAGTGCAAGGGCGCCTTGTCTGACTCCCGCGCGCTTGTAGTGGATGCTCTTGAGCTTGCCGATGATCTTTGGGAGACGTCAGAAGCGGATGCGGAAGAAGCATCAACCGTTTCTTCGCCAACCACGGTCCATTCGTCGACAACGGTTTCATCTCGGACAACCGGTTCTTCCCCGACACAGCGGAGCACATCCACTGCACCAACGGAACCTGAGTCTTTGGTGCCGGCCCGCTTTCCCTCTGCCTCGGAAGTTGTCTCACTGAGGCAGGAACTGCAAAAGATCGACGACAGTCTTTCCGAGTCGATGAGGACTTTGAACCAGGTCATCACTCAATCACGTTATCGAGAGGGCGTAATCGAAAGCATAGACCGCGCACGGGCATGTCTCGACAAAGTTCACATCAGAGGAGAGCGCTATTCGGGCTTGGACGACGAAAAGATACGCAAATTCGGATTTGCAACGCTTGCCATCGCTCGGACAAGGCATGTGAAAGCTATGCGCGTTCTCGATGCAGCCAAGCAAGAGCAACTACCACTGGACGGCCCTAAGCAAGCAAAAGGTAGCGGAGGAACACGAGACACCGAGCGCCAAGAGCCTTTGCGAGAGGATGAAGAGTTCGATCGGATGGTCCATCGTTTCTCGCAATTTGATTGCGGGGACTCCGAGGAGCTTCTGCGTCAGCAACAAGAGGTTCTTCAACAGGTTGCTAACTACCGTGCCGCTGAGGCGTACAACAGACGCCGTCAAATGGGTCATAGCTTGTATGACCAATTTCTGCAGGCAGGTGCACCTGAGGCTTACGGGGAGCCAACGTATTCCGAAGCGGAATTTCCGTCATCGCGGTCCCTGGAGTGGGATCAGTACTGGTATGCATGGGATTTTGGAAGTAGTTCGTCCTGGGAGGACAGGGAATAGCCGATTTCATTCAGCATACACTTTTCAGGCATGCATAATAGGTGGACGAAAAAACATATTAGCCGCATATTAGCCTTTCTCGACTGCACCATAAACCAAATTAGCGAAATGATAAAGCCCCTCATAATACATCACTTATGGGTCTGCGTGTAGGGACCTCAGATGTCGTAGAAAGGTCTAGATGCTTCCAATATCCTTACGCACGTGTGAAGTGGCTATGGTTGACTGACAGATTCCGCGTTTAATTCGCCGAAGGCGACAAAACTCAGTTTTTGGACAAGCCTCGGGACTGATGGGTCGCGACCACGGTGAAGGTGGCTGCAACGAGTTGCTTGAGAAACTGGACAGCTCACACACGTTTGATCTTTTCACTGACCGTAATCTATCTCCTATTACTGTCTTTATCTGCAGCCACTAAGGAGAGGTGAAAGCTCTCAGTTGTGAAGTTACTCGATCTGCTGATGGCGATGCGACCGCGTTCGGCCATAGCTATATAAGAGCGCCCCCTCCACCGCTATCGACGGGTTATCTCCTCCTACTTCAACTCTGGTATAGATTAAAGCTTCGAACGATATCTACAAGCTGCCCGCGAGGTACGCCGGTGTTATCAGCTCGCCGTCAAACTATCCAAAACCCACCTTCCACACCAGTCCCAAGGGCGGATTCTCGTCTCAGGCTGCTTGCAGGTCTACAAGCCCAACCTCTCCGACAACAACAACATGGCTTCTAGGAATCGCACACTTCACACCATTTACGGCCAATACCGTACTGCAGCGGCTATCAGCAGGGCAGCTAATGCCGATTACATCCCGTTGAACGGCGATCGTAACATCAATGCCGTACACCCAATTCCGATTGACTGGCTGGACGAAGAGCTATTGCCGAGCGAGCGCGATCAAGTCCGCGAACATGTTGCGTCTCTACTGAGTAGTCAGCGACGCCAAGTTCCCAGTTTCGTCGAGGCTTTACAGGGTACCATGGAGAATCTGAACACCATCAGGAATAGGGGTACAGCTACTCGCAGCATTCCCGCACGTCGATCTGGAGGCGAGACAATCGATCGTCTGGCGGACGACTTCGACACTTTGACCATGGGACAAGCGCATGGCATCAACTCACCACCACGTAACGTGCGGTTTGCAGAGACGGTTCGGACAGATCGTGTTTCCCGAGACCCTGCAATCCCTGGTCCCTATAGTCCACAGCCGTCCTCGCCGACTCCTCGAAGTATCATGCGCTCGCCCGGACATTCTCGTGCGAACTCAGCCGAAGCGATTTTGAGCCACGGAGCATTACCTCCACGCGATGCTCAATTGCCCTCGCCCACCGACGGCTACAGTGAAGAACTCGCTGCACTAGATGCACAACTCGACGAGATTTACGCGGCTCTCAACAGCCAGCGTCGCATCGAAGATAATGGGTCATTAGAGCAGCGTTTTGATAGCCTTGCGCAAGCTCGCTCCATGATTCGTCGCCTGAGAGGACTACGTCGTCTTAATCAAATGGACATTGACACGGCTCGCGCGGCTGTACAATCAGTGATGACAAGCACTGCACGAAACGACACGCAGCGCGCTGCTCTCTCGAACGCTAATAGTAGACCGGAACGCATGGGTCGCGGGCTGCCTCATCGTAATCATGAGATGCGGAGGCCACGTCCAGTAAGTGGGAGCTTCAGCAGCATAGGAGAGCGGCTACGCCTAGCGACAGTACAGCATGATCAGCGTCTGTTCGCTCATAACAACGGCATGTTTCCAGTTTGGAGTTCACCTCCCGTTGACCCTCAATATGGGGACGGCATTCAACGGCCTGACGGTACCATATACTGCTGGGGGCCTAGGGGTGGATGGCTGATGTACCATGGCCGTGATGGAGCCTGTTTTTGTGAGTAGGCGTGTGATGATGCCTAGTCTTAGGGTAGGGGCTCTGTACCTGGATAACATTCAGAGCGCAAAGGTCGGGTTAGGGAGTGCGCATTCATAGAGGGACCGAGATAGAGGCAGAACCGGAACTGCAAATCATTCAAATGTACTACATCAATGTGCTTGTTGGTCATCGAGGCGCGCACACGTGGCGGGAACGAGAGCGACGGACTAATCACATGGGCCGTGTTCAAACATTCGGTTGACGCTAGCTGCACCGAGGTCCTTCCGGCAGTGGGCTAGCCTGAACCACTCCGCGCTTGCCATCACCACACTACATACACAATGCGCATCATTGCACTCTCCTAGTCTAAATGACCAGACCGCAGTCTGCGTCAAAGGCGCACTCTATCCATTCTTACTTTCCTTATTACATGACATCTGGCACCTCGTTCGCTTTGGCATTACAGCTCCGCGCCTCATTCTCCAAGTTCCGCTTCAATAACACTCTCAGCGACCCCAGGGTAATTGTAGATGGCTAAGAACTTCAGACCAGCCTTTTCGATTATCGCTCTCCACTCCGCTTCTGTTCTCTCGCGCACAGAAAGATGTGCCAACATCATCATATCCATAGAGGTGGCGGCGATGGTGGGCTTTTCTTCTGAAAGCACAATCTCGTTCAACAGCACCCGCGAGTAGCCGGGCTTCAGCGCTGGCTTCAGGCTTTCGAGAATCCTGACGCCCTCTTCGTCTCTCCAGTCGTGGAGAATCGAGTGCAGTGAGTACGCCCTGGCTGACTGGATGGGCTGAGGGGTATAGAAGTCATGAACTTGGCTCTCAAAAGGAAGCCCCCCTTTATCGTTGATGGCCGCGATCACTGGCTCTTGATCCTGAAGAATGACTTTGCCCGGATGAGACTGGTGCTGCGCCACGAATTGCTGGACATCGTGCCCACGACCGCCGCCGACATCTACCAGAAGGGCCTCGCTGCAGCTGGAGTCAAAGCCATTGATCAGACGTTCTGCGACCGGATAGAAGCCGGGATCGAACCAATTCGCCTTGCCTGCGCGATACACCGACATGAAGTTGTCGAACTCGTCGAGACGAGGAGGCGTTGCGACCAACCATGGGAAAAAAGGTAAATCTGTTCCATGCGCATCCTGCAATGGTCCTTCTGTAGGCGAAGTGGGTAGCCTGTAACCAGTCTTCTTGAAATACTCCGGGAAGCCATTGAACGACGGTCGTGACACGTCGTAGCAAAAGTCAATGCTCTTCTGATAGTTGTCCGCTGCAAGTTCGTGGCTCAGACGGGTACCGAGGAACCTACCGTTCGAGAAAGAAACGATCTTCATTGCGATTAGGTGACGCATGATTCGTTGCAATAGAACAGGGTCAACGCTCGTCTTTTGAGCAAGGTCGCCCGGACTAACTCCGGCATCGCCTGCATCTCTTAGATGCTGGAAGAGTTTGACTTCGACAGCGAACTTGCAGTGTGCTGACAATGCCGGCTGCAGACTCATCAGTATGCTGGTAGCAGTGCAGGTTCAATCACGAACCTCGGCCCAAAAGCTTCTCTGCAGGAATTCACTGGGTATCTCGAGCGCCGCAACCAGGTCTCGACCAAGCTCGATGAGACTTTCTCGTGAGCCGAGTTGCTCGGCTTCGTAAGCTCTGCCGGCGGCCGCAACACGTTCGAGGATATTTGCCACGAGTATTGACATGTCTGGCGACGAGTGTTCGTTCTGCAATGTTTGTGAAAGGCCAGAGAAGGAAGCGCGGGGCAGCCTTCTATTGCAATCCTTCGATCCTTTCGCACGATAGCCATCGTTCGGTGCGGCTCTTGCCTTCCTATTGCGCCATGCGCCGAAGTACACATGACTCGTTTTCCCGCCCGATCGCTCAGCGCTTAGTCGTCTCCGCGATGTTTGGATCTTAGATCAGCTGCGTTGTGATACAAAGGCCTGATATCCGCAGTCTCTTTACCGTCTTTCGCTCGTCCGACCCAGTGGACCTCGGTAGTGTTCAACAACGCGAATCCCACACCCGCTGTGTTCGATCAATACATTTGGAACATCGCCTACCAAACGCTTGTCGCCTGCGTACTTGTTACATTTGCCGGCATGACGTTTCCGGAGACAGGCATCCGTCCGTGCCGCCCCGCCTGTTGTTGGCCCACTTGGTCTGGCACTAGATCCTTCGCGGATGCATGAACAGACACTCCGAGCCGCACCTGTTGAGCCATCAAGAGCCACGTTGACTTTACTAGTCACAAGGTCTAACTGAGTTAATTTTCAAGATTGGATATATTTCTCTTCTTAGAAGAGATAAACACTCTACAAAGTAAAGCTATCTAGCTTAAGATATATGGTATGGAAGTAGAAAGACTACATTTTCTGCTTACGTTCGTTGGATGTCTCCTGCAAAGGGGTTGTATTGCGGCTGTCCTTTCGGGGTATCAGTTTCAGTGTGGCCTTTTAGAAGGTCGCCTCTCCCGTCGTCTTCCCATAACGAGTAGTTCAATCTACCGACGTCTGAGATCGGTGTCTGAGAGCCTACCGCAAGCAGTACATTAACGATCGTTCCGTCATACGAAGGACCGACGTGATCATGGACACGCCTCGCAAATTTCTATGGATTTGCGAGCTTCCCAACACTGATTCGGAGCGATGTTCCGCCTTCCTTGTCCTTCGAAGAGGGAGACATACCATGTTTCAAGGATAGTTTCACTGCAGATATGCCGGTCTTTTCGCAAGCCACATGTTGAACGAAAATCTCGGCACCATCCACCGAGCTTTTGTTAGCGGCAAGTTCATATCCTCTTTGAGAAGCTCCAGCACGCTGAAAAGTCGCAGACGACCACCCCGGAGAGGTTTTCAACTACTGTTCATACGCTGTTGATACTTACTGCACCAAGCTTGAAAAATACTAAACCCTTACGGATGTTACGCCAGCATACTGATGCGCAGTTGCCTTGCATCCTGCGGCCTACTTTACCTATCTCGAGCTCGAATGGAGTCTTGAAAAGAAATGGATCGCGGAGGCAAAGCACGTAGGTCAGGATGTGTACGCAAGCTACGAAGTAGATGTAGCTGAATCAACACAGAAGGAGGACAATGGGGGTACTACTAATAGCGATACTGCGCTTGATCTTTTCTAGCAAGCTCGTAAGCGTGGTCATTGGCCCGCCGCAACTTCAGTGTCTACCACGCCGAAGGAACCGCACAACACTGGCCTGTAGGCCTGATAGGATTATGGCTAGTGCCAATAAGGCCGATCGGGATGTTGAGAATCCTCTGAGGTGTTAGGTTCACTATGCATCTGACTACCCTGTGCTCTCCGAGATGGCGTTGAATCGTTTACTCGTCCGGCAATGAGCTCTGAATGTGAGCGTGTATTCCTACAAACAAAGAAGGTCGTTCAAAATCAACGAAAACGCCTCAATTCAGACACTGCTGCAGCTATTGAATGTCAAAATCACTTTTTGATTAGCAACGAGCGCACAATATCCGCGTAGTCTTGATTTAGCATAGTACGTGTACATAATCCCAAGCCACGTAAACTAGATAAGCCGCAATGTGCTTGCGATCCGACCCTATGTACATGTCTCACGGGTACGCAACCTGCACGCGATTATCTTCAATCTTGCGAGCTGGCCATTTGTGGTGCACGGATTTCTTGATCGACGCAAGGCTGCTATTGAGGCTGGGAAACCTTGTCATCCAACTACTGGTTTTTATGGAAATAAACATATCGGTCTTCCACAACTCATCTCTACTAGTATGTCGCACCACGACCCGTGTAGCCATAGCCGCACGGGTTGTCCGAATCATGCGCAATGCCATACCACGTGCCCCTTGTCTCCTGGCTGTCTCATCCCATACCCTTGCCATCGTTGCAGTCGTTGATGACGCGGTTAATGCTCCACTCAGCGTCCTGGCAGGGCATGTAGCCAGTGCGGCAGAAGCTATTGCAGGCGTAGGCGACAATACCGTTGTACGAGTTGCTGGAGACGCGTTTGGCGTTCCCTGCTAGGTTACCGTTCTGGCATTGACTCATGAGGTCTTTCAATGCGGCGCGAGCGTTTCCTTGGCTAGACTGGTCGGAGGAGGAGGCGCAGTGTTTACCGCTGTTAGAGCGGGAGCAGCCTCGTGCCTTGAAGGAAACAGAAACATGTCAGCTGGTCGCTTTTGTGGCCAGGGTCGTGATTGCTCAAGTAAGCCTTACCTGAAGGTCGACCGTGGCGGCCATGATGGTGCTGCTTTGGAACAGGAGTGTTCCGGCGGTGGTAATGGCGAAGAAGCGCATGATGAGTAGGTTATTGCTGTACAGTACGAACTTCGATACAGAGAAAAGTGTGCTAGACTAAAAGACTAGGTCGACCTATAATAACTCAATGTTAATAGAGAGAGTAGTGTTCTTACATTACTAGAAACACGTCGTACTTATATACATTCGTTCTACGCTAGCTAGATTACATAATATTTTACTATGCAAGTGTACTTACTTCTAAGCTAGAAGCTTCTATACACAAATAATATAATACAATAATAGTAGTTAGTAATATAGATAGTATTAGTTATTATCTATATAAAGATTAACTAATTACACAGCTCTAGAGCCTATTTTATAGTAGAAGTATAGCGCTAAGCTAAGTATAGAAGATAATAGCACGTGTAGATACTATTTATATCTACTAGATAAAGTTATTATATTTTTAGATAGGTAGTAGCATTATTAGAGTAAGAATTTAATAGCTTACTTAATTAATCTAGCTATATAAAGTGTACTACCTTCTCTTTTAAGAAAACACTAGTATAGCTTATTCTAATAACTTTAAATATACGTATTTATTCTAGCTTCTATCTAATATCTAGTTCTTAGTTTATTCTAATAGTATATCTATAAGTAAAATATCTTCTAGATTAGTAGAAGTAGCTAGTTATCTTATCTAATATTAATAGTACTACTAGCTATAATAAGCACTTATATAATATCTTTAGCTACTATATAAAAAGTCTTATAAGAAAGTTTACTATAGTATATATTTATACTACTCTATAATAGAAGGTAAATACTTTATTTTTAATATAGTATATAGTAGCTTTAAGAGCTATATTAGGTAAAGTAACTACTTTTAATATTAATATTAGCTCTAGCTTCTAGAAGAACCTCTATAATATAGATATAGTCTTTTATTACTACTATATATATAGTATTATTAAAGCGCTAATTTCTATTTAGAATTACTTCTTAATTAACTAGTAGATAGTATAAGTAGCTATAGCCTTAAGAGATATATATTATAGAAAACTACTCTATTTAAGATTTAAGCTTTTTAGTATTATCTTTTTAGTTAAAAAAGTATTTAGATATCTATTTAATATTTTCTACTTATATAATAAGCTAAGAGCTATACTACCTAGAGGTTTTATAAGCCTAATAATAAACTTTTAAAATATATTCTTAAGACTTAGAACTTTACTACTAATAATAATACTAATTACTAGTATTAACTTTATAAGTATTATATATTATATAAGTATACGCGCCTTAAGCGCTTTATTAGCTTTAGAGAAGCTAGTTATTATAGTTCTAGCTAGTTTCTATTCTATTACGTTATTATATAGCTAGCCTAGCCTAATTAGACTAGACTACTTACTAGCTTTCTATATATAAAGGTTTTATATCTTTATATTTTATATAATAGCTTGTATTTTATTAAATCTAATTATTATTATTTATATCTTTTATATTATATAAGCTTCTTTTTAAGATAAGCTCTATCTACTTATATATAAATTATATATTAAACTCTAATATATATTAGCGCGTAATACTAGATTACTATAGCTTTCTATATTACTAGCGCGTAATATAAAATTACTATAGCTTTCTATATTACTAGCGCGTAATATAAAATTACTATAGCTTTCTATATTCTATATCTCTATACTAATAAGTAGTAATATAGTCTAATTAAACTCTAGTAGCGCTAGTGTAGTCTTAGCGCTAGTAGCGCCTACTAATAACGCTAATAGTAGTAATACCTAAGTAATAGGCACTTAGGTTAACTCTAAAAGCTTTAATAATAATTTAGGTAACTTTAAGAATAATAATAACCTTAATAATAATAAAAAAGCTAAGCTCTATTAGAAGTAGGCTAACACTTTTATAGAATATTAGTAATAGCGTTATATCTAGTTTACTAGTAGTAATAGTAATAGTAGTAATAGTAAAAATAGTAATAATAGTAATAATAGTAATAATAACACTAACTATATTAGTTATTAATATAAGTTTTACTAATAGTCTCTTAAGGCTGCTACTAAGCTAGCTAAATCTACTATCTTAGATATAGACTATAATAACGCTACTAATATTATATAAGTTTACTTATTCTAAGTTTATAAGAATAATAAGTAAAAGATTATCTCTAATATATATAATACTAAGTAGTTTACTAACATAGTCTAGAAGTATAGTAAATATATCTTTACTTACTTTCTTACTATTATAACTAATTACTATAATTAATATAATAAGGTTAAGTAGTTAACTAATAAAGCTTAGCTTTATAAGTAGAAAGTTAACTTCTATATTAAGTAAGCCTACTAATAGACTTAAGCTACTACTAATCTTACTATTAAGAATCTAACTAAGAAGTATAACTAGATAATTATAACTAAGAACTTATATATAGCCTACTTTACTATTATTAATAATAAAATTAAAGCTTTCTATAACTCTAATATCTAGCTCTATACCTATATTAGTAAACTAGTTAATAAGAAGAACTAGCTCTAATAGCGCCTAGATCTTTCTACTAATAGTAGTAGTAGTATTATAGCTAGTAAAAGCGTTGCTAGTAGTTATACTTATAGTAGTAGTTCTACTAGTAGACCTACTATCTCTCTATTTAACTTATTTATTAGCTAAAGTAGTAACTCTCTAGCTCTTCTACTTAGTAGACTATATAGCTTTACTATCTATTAGAGTAGTCTACTACTAGCGCTACTATAGTAGCTAGCTTACTTAGCTACACTACACTTTTATATCTCTAATAATCTTACTTCTACTAGCGTAAAGCTTAAGAATATTAAAATATTCTATAGTAATAATACTAACTATACTAAGTATAAGTACTAGTACTATACTACTAAGAACTTTCTTTTAAAGTCTAACGTCTATACTACTATCTAGAACTAGATAAACTATATTATTAATTACTTATATAGTTCTATAGCTTAGTAGATTAAATACTATACTAATATAGCTTTACGTAATTAGTTTATTAGTATAAATAAAATCTTTACTACTCTAGACTATATCTATAATATCTTAGATACGTATACTAATACTACTACTACTTTTTATAATAAAAGCGCTAATAGTCTTATATAGAAGAATAATAAGAGCTTTAATATCTAAGTTAGTTATTTTATATTAGTTTTTACATCTATAAATATATCTAATAGTAAGCTTATTTAATATACTATCTAACTTATAAAATATAGCTATAATACTATATTTTAGTATTACGTTAGTAATACCTAGAATAGTTTTATTTATAACTACTACACTTAGTAATAGTTTCTAAGGCTTACTAGTTCTAGTATTAGTACTAGTAGTACTAATAGTAGTTATAGTAGCTATAGAGGTAGTAGCGTAGCTTCTTCTAGTAGTAGTAAAACTATTATAGTAGGTATTTATAATAACTATAGTTATATAAAAGCTTAGCTTACTATTTTATTAAAGTAGAGCTAATACTTTAAGTATAGTAGCACTACTAATAATAGTAGTAAGCACTATTACGCTAGTAATAATAATGTCTCTACTATCTATAAAAATAGCTCTATTATTACTACCTCTAAGATTCTAGTCTTAATATTAACTCTTACTAATACTACTCTTTAGACTTCTATTAAGAACATTACTAGCTTAGAAAACTAGATATCTCTAGTAATAGTTACTACTAGAGATAGAAGAAGAAAAAAAATAATTATAATATATATAGTCTAAGTTCTTCTCTATAATACTTAGTATCTACTTACTCTAATACTCTCTATAAGGTTTTTACTAAACTACTCTTCTCTAAGTTACTAACTCTACTAATACTCTACTTACTAGAGTAAAAAGTAGATATACTTTAAGTTTATATATAATATTTAGAGAACTAAATATATAAGAATAATAGTAGTACTACTAGTAAGATAGTAACGCTTAGTTTAAATATAATTATAAAGAGTAAGTAGCTAGTATAAGAATAGTAATTTATATTTAAATATAAAGCTATATTATCTACTAGCACTACTATTAATATAAAAGAATTAATAGACTCTAGCGCTACTAGTAACTATATATTAATATTATTTACGTAATAATATAAACTATAAATATTTATACTTAAGTAGCTACTATAGCTTTATCTTAGTAATAGTAGTATTATTAGCTAGACTATTACGTAAGGCGTTTTAGTTTCTATTACTTATAGTAATTATAAAGCTAAGAAGCTTTTCTACTAGGTTAATATAACTAGTTATAACTTTATCTTTAGTCTACTTTAGCTAGAAAAGTATAACCTATATATTAATTAGTAGAATAGAACTATATACTTTAGTAGTAAGTACTATAACACTAACTACTTTACCTATAGTACTAATATTCTTATCTATAGTATATATTATAAGCGCTAGCTAGCTAATAAAGAAATAAACCTATTTTATATCTTAATAGATATCTACTATATTATAAGTACTACTACTACTACTATAGCTACGCGTAATAACTATAATATTATCTAGATATACTCTTAAGACTTTAAGTAACTAGAGCGTAGTAATAAAGATAATAATAAGCGTAATTACGTTTACTATATATTTACTTTAATATTCTCTTCTATTAAGCTTAACGCTCTTATCTAGAAGAATATTAAGAAGTTTTATAATAAGCTTAATATACCTACTAAGTCTTAGAAAGATATTATACGTAAGCTACCTAGATAGCTTTATAATATAGCCTACTAATTTAATTCTAACTCTTTTACTACTAGTTTTTCTAAGTAGAGAGGCTCTATTAACTACGCTATTAATATTATCTCTAGCTCTAAGTATTCTTCTACTAGAATATATAGTCTAAGTTATAATAAGAGTATAGCTATTAAAGTCTATATCTATAATATAAACTTATATAGTAAGATTTATAAAAGTAAGTTAGAATATACCTTACTAGTACTTATTATCTAGAAGCTAGATAGTAGTCTTTATATTTGTATTAACTATTATACTTTTAATATAGTTATAATTAAG